GAATTAGTTAGTCATGATGCCTTATTAGAGACCAATCTTTGATTTATATAGCAAGAGATAAAAGAGGTGTCATTTATTCATGATACATTATCAAAATTTACAAGAACCTATTGAGTCACACATATAAATTTAAGTACTCACATCATAAAACGAAGTAAAGATATTGAAAAACGTTTTTAATTTTAAAAGTTTTATATTTTGGAAAAGGTATCCAAAAATGAAAAGTTTCCTAAAATAAAGTTTTTTAAAATGAAAATTTTCCCATTTTAGAAATTAATTATCTAATTTAGAAGTCAATAACAAATTTGAAAGTAAATTATCTAAAAAGAAAATTAGTTTCCTAATTTAGCTTCAAAGGTAATTTGGGACATTGTTTCCTAATATGGGCCTCCTAAAAATATCTAACCTAATTTATTTGGATAATCCAAATTAATTAATAATTAATTAGGCCAATAGGTTTAATAAAAAGCATGTAAGATATTTTGATGAGAGGATAATCATGAACCTTATTGGATAAGGATTAAGGTTTAAAAGGATAAAATCAAAAAGCCCATATGCATAATAACTCATAATCCTTGGAGTATTAGTAATAGCAAGTAAGAGTCCTTTTAGGACTCATTATTGCCTCTTATTTATCCTTGAAGGACAAGGAAGACACCCCTTATAAATATAACATGAGTTGCAACAAAGAGAGTAAACAAGCTAGGGCTACATGGTAAAAAGAAATAAAAGGGAGAAAATAGTTTTCTTCCTCCATACACACATGCCACCTTTCCTTTCTCTTTTAAGGTGTTCATAAAATAGCCATGAATTGATTTCTATAAAGAAAACACTTAACAAGTGAGAAAAAGGTGGAGCTAGCACTTTACTACTTCTAATTACTTTTTGTGTGGGTGCTTGGATCGTGTGGAATATTGATGAAAATCGGACACTTGGACGACTCTTTTCTCGCAAAGGTTAGATTCTATGCTATAAGAGGTAAACCTTTACTTATGATTTAATTCATATATGTATAATTAGTTAATTCAACGACTTGATCTTAGGAGCCTTAGATGAAGGAAAATTTTTGTTTTATTCCGCACCTCTACGGAATGTATGATCCTTTAACATATGTATCTAAAAAGTCCTTTATTTCTTGATTTCAAGGAAGTAGCTCTTACCCTTGATTCTTATGTTGCAATACCCTCTTGTACTCGGCGCTTGATCATTTGTGATATTAGTTACTCGTTATTTCACTTAGGATAGTAGAAGTTGAAGCACCAATTTGCCCATCCCGTAATGCAAAAGAAAATAAAAAAATTTAAAGTTATTTAACATAATGTTTAATACACTTATATTTATTAAAAAATTATACAAACTAAGAGTAACAACCTTTCTTTCCTTCTCTACGCAAGTCCTTAAATTGTGACCTTTTTTATGGGATTGGGAACAATAAACCATAGTTCCTTTTATTGATAAATTCCTCCCTTCATTTTTTGCTTTCATTCCCCTCAACCCTTTTATTCTTCTTCCTTCCAGCCTTCTTCTAGTGGTGGAGGGTTAATAGGACCAAGTCCTTTTTTTCTCTCAAAACTTTAGCCCATTAACAATCGACAATGTAAATTGGTAAGACTTCATAAATATATCCTTCTTATACCAATGAGCCAAATAATCTTTTGATTTCTCATTCCTACTTTTCCATGCACGCATTGCATAAACACATGAAATTTCACTAATATTTCACGACCTACAATTACACTTTCTATAAGGCACATCAACAAGATATTTATCCTCAAACTACTTGACTATATAATCGTCATCACCATTCTATATTATTTCTATTATATGAATCAACTCTCTTTGCTCTTTAAACTTTTGCCATATTTTTGGTCCATAATTTCTCTTGAACCTAACTCGACCAAATTACCTCCTTTCCACTATTCTTGTCATCACCATCACCTTAATTTCCTCAACATTATAATGATTTCTTTGTATCTAACATGAAGCAAATTATTATTAAACACTTCACATATGTTATTTTTTAACAATACCACACTTACTATACGATTGAAAAAAAGCTTTGTACCATGCTCGTCATATCAACTTTGAGTAGATCATCCTTTGTTTTTTCCGTTATCTTCTCAAGTGCTTTTTCTAAATCGAGTCGTGTTGTAGCCCTCGCGTCCGAATTTTTCATGAAGCTCCTTACCCTTACGAGTTCTTCCTCCAATTAACAAATATATGAATTATATAATTTCTATGCTCGGTATATGGCATTAACTTCTCCATTGCCTTCTCAAGACCTTACCAAGAAAACATATTACGAGTTCAATTCGGTGGCTTCCATTTACATACTATAAACTACAAATGAAAATATACAATTAAGTACATCATTTAATTAAATTTTTCAGCATATATCAAAATTTAACCTTTTTTTGGTCGGTCATCAATGTCTAATTCCTATCATTTTTAAACTCTATATCAAGATTTTTTTATTAAGTGCTCAATAAACTATGTCCAAATGTATTGATTTTCACCATCAACAACGACTTATGCTAAAGAAAACATCCGATTATTTCTCTCTTCTCATAGTAGTTAAGATCTCACATTTATACTTTTTTTCAAAAAATATCCATCCATTCCAAGAATAAGCCAACATCCTCCCTTGAATTCTTTTTTTAGAGCATTAAAATAAATATAGATAGCTTTAAACACTAGATTACCACCAATACTAGGCATGGTAAACCAACTTTCAATGGTGCTTCCTTTGTTACTCCTCTTTAACTCTTCTAAATAATCTTTTAACATTGCATACTCGATACTATCATCATCATAAAAATGCCGCTCTATCCTTTCCTTTTCTTTTCTTGCTTGGTCGAACTTCGTTATTGTATAATTTCTCTCTTGCTTGTGTTTTCACACCTTTTTTTATCCATTTTCAAAGCAATACTACCAAGGTTATTGATAAAGTACTTTACAACAACACTCGACTTAATCCTTCTATTCTTAAATGTAACTTGACTTGTATGTTCATCTACATATGTTCTAAGTTTAAAGTTATCTATATGCTTTTTATATCTTACATGGAAAGCTCATAGATAAATCTTATCGCTACACTTTGCTCTTACTCTTTCTCTCGCTCACTTGAAAAATTCAATCTCCTTCTTCTTAGCCACACAATGATCCTCTAAAGACTAGATGATTTGTTATTCATTTGTAAAAGTCATACCAAGTGTAAATTATGGATCCGTGACGGTGTCATCAAAATACATAGTTTTGAACTTCTTTCCCTTGCTCAATATGTCTCATCATCATCCTTATTGCTTGATCCATGACTTTTATCTTCATCCGAATCAAACTCATATGAACCTACACCAAAATCCACTCCTTCGATAGCAGATTTTTAACTATTTGATTATGGAGTATTAATTGGTGGTGTTTTTAGGACACTAGCAATATGTTTTTTACTTTTCACTCGTGTTTAACTCTATAAAAATGTTTCTAGTAACAACTAACTCTTCATCATCTTTGTCAATAAGCCATGACATATCAATCAATTATATATCATCATCCGAGTTCAATACACTATCATATTCATCCCTACCATTTCTAATATCTTCGAACTAGAATCTCTAGTACCTCCCTTTTCATTTCCCAATCCATGAGTGTTTCCCTCTATATGGTCACCCTTTTCCCTCAAGATGTCATCTAACAAAAGCCCTACCTCAATGCTTTCAAAAGCATGTCTTATACTTGTGTTAGGTATTAACCTATCCATGTTCCACTGCTACAACCATATAGATTATTAAATTGCCCTTCCCGATAATTTACATAAATACTCTTATATTCATAAGAAATTACAACATCATTAAGCCCAATACCACTATCGCCCTCACCAGTCCTACCGTCAATATCCATATTTATACCCACATTTTGTTCCCGAACAACATTCTAAACACGATCCTCGAGGTCAATCACTTCATTTCCATCAATAACTAGCTTTTTTGCACCCTCAACAAGAAAACTCCATATTCCCTTTCTTAATAAAATCATCTAAATCCGGAAACAAAGATGTTATATTATACACACAAATCAATCGAGTTTCTAATTTATCCTTATTCCTTAAAACCCTATAATGTATCTTCTTAGGGTAACCCACCCATAACTTCTAACAAGTTGCTTTAAGGCTAGAAAGGAAAAATAATCACTATTAAAAAATTTAATCTCACAAACCCCACCGAGTGTACTTCAAGTCGGGATTTCAAACAAACTCACCTTCAATACGCGATAACGAAGTCGAATTCGACATTTCATCTATGAATTTGACAAAGCAAAGATAATAAACTATATGGCACGACTACTTTATCACACATTTAATTTTGCATTTTATAATTTTGAAGTAAAAGAAGAAGAAAGGGAAGCCATGAAATCTCACAATGACGAACATATTTGAGAAAGATTTAAAAAAATTAAAAATGCCCTAACTAATTCTACCCCTAATTCAATCGGATAGAAAAAATCATAAAACCTTAAAAGTATTTCTTTCAATTATAAAAGGCTCTCTCTCTCTCTCTCTCATGTGTTCTCTATCATTTTCAATTATAGAAAGCTTCTTCTCTCTCTCTTTCCCTTCAATTGTTGTAAATATTTTTGTTAGATTAGGAATATAAGGCGAGTAACGAGTTGTCCGCCTTATATCCATAATCTAACCAAACTTAATTTTAGTTTAATGCTTAAAAAAATAATAATTAAATGGCAATAATAATGATCGATCGCGTTGATCGTTAAATTTAACGCTAGTTAAGAAAATTATATCAATTTTTCCTAATCCGTAATACTTCGATGTCCAAATTACATGATTTGGTACTATGAATCCGAAATTGCCAAATCGTAATAGATTGGGGGCTAAAATTACCATCAAATTGTATAATTAGGCAAAGGATGACCTGAATTCCATTTTATTTCAAAGTATGGGATGAAAAGGGTAATGTTATTTAAAAAAAAAAAAAAAAAAAAACAAGATGGAAGTGTAATTTTTGGAGTAAAATAGTAGATGGTTATTGTAGCAATTAATGAGTAACATAAATATAAACAAGTCTAAGTCTCATATCATTAAAGGAAAATGAGAATTGAACATTGGTCTTGATTAAACTAAATTAATTAATTATATATAATTAATTATATATATATATATATATATATATACACCACACCTCTTGGTGATAAAAAAAATGGTAAAGTTATCATTATTTTTAACACATGGTCCATCCGTTAAGAAGATAATTATCATGTTAGTTGATTTATAATAGAAGTTCAATAAAAGTACTTGATTAATCAACTTTTGTGTGTCCATGTACTCTAATAAAAAGAAGGAAATAAAAATAAATAAATAAATACACTCAAACAGAAAAAAATCGTGTAGTATAGGTAATTCATATGCGATTTGTCTCTATATTTTTAAAACTCAAATAGAAAAATAATTGCTACATTTAGCATATTTGTAACAAAAATTAATGAGGTATTTGAACGATCAAATTTTGTAGGTAAAGTACTAAAATAGAAAAAAAAAAAACAATATAGACACTTAAATAAAAAAATCAATCATATGTCATTATTTCATTAGTTAACTTTTTGGAAGTATAAAATGATTCATTTAAAAACGGATTAGCTTCCATTTTCTTTTTTTGTCTTTTTAATCATATATTAACTTATTTATTTAAAAACTGTATTAACTTTTGGAAGTATAAAGTGATGTTTTTAAAGATCAAATTAATTCTTGTTTGTTTGTTTGTTGTTTTTTTTTCTTTTTCTTATATCATTTCAATATTTTCATTTTATTAACCAAAGAAACACTATTTTCAAATAATTTATTGTATTTAAAAAATTAAATATAAATTTTGTCTTTAATAGTAATTTTAATTCAAACAACACAATAATGTATTATCAAACAATTTAGTCATTTTAACGAGTACAATTAAACAACACGTATCTTACCCGTTGTTTGGATATTTCCTCTTGGGAGGAAAGAAAAGAGAGGAAAGAAAGTGAGAGGAAAGAAAACTATTTTTCACTTGTTGTTTGGATAAGAGTAGAAATGAAATGAAAGAAAGTATATTTTCCTTGTTTGAATAATTGTAAAAAGAGGAAGAAAAGAAAATGTATTATTTAATATTTATTATAATACCCCTATGATTATATTTCTATATTTAAATCCTTATAATAAATTTGTATGAATATTTTTTGAATAATACATAGCACAAATGATAAGAAAATAAAAATCTAGCATGTAGCATATATTTGAAATGATAAGATGGATAATGAACTCCATAGAATAATCGATAATTGTTCGCTAATTTATTAATTCAATAGCCAATTTATATTAATTATCAACATAAAATTAATTTAAATATGTATAACATGTATTATTATCTATGCATATAATAAGTTAGTTGCTTTAACTCATCATTTTCTCGACTTTTTTTCTTGGATTAAAAAATTACTTTTTAGCAATTCAAAAAAAAAAAAAGTATATTGTAGTATTGTGAACAATCATGGAGAGTCAATTGAATCAACAAAATTGAGATAAATTACATATTTGGATAAATAAGCATAACCCGTTACTCGAGTGACCACTCTAAATTCTATCGTAAAATTTGCGAGTTCCCGAAAGCCCAAGGTAGCTTTTATTGCTTATTTTCCTGTCAAGAAGACTCACTCAAATGCAACCTACAACATCATGTTATGGCCGCCAACAATCCAACACACGAAAATATTTTTAGCCTTTTTTATTTTTTAATAATAATTTTTATTTCTTCTTTTGCGGTAACTTTAAAAAGTGTTCGACGGGTTGTTTTGAAGGATGTTTTGTGTCTGTTTTTGTGGTTTTTTCGGGGTTTTTTTGGGTGATTTTGAAGCTGGTTTGGGCGTGTTTTTGGAGCTTCTTTGGTGGTTCAAATGACTCGTCCAAAGGGGTTGCTCTATAAGGGTTTTGGGTGGTCGTTGGTAACGGTTTCGTGGCTGAGTTTGAGAGCTTTGGGTAGGTGTTGGGTCTGTTTTGGGGTTGGTTTTAGGACTATTTTTGTAGGGTGTTTTGAAGCTTGTTTGTAGTCTGTTTGTAGGCTGTTTGAGAGCTAGTTTTGGTGTTTTAGGGGAGGTGTTTGGTCTCTTAAGTACCAAATCCAAAATGTGAAAGGGTTGAGGAATGAAATGATGACAATTTCTTATATAGAGTCATGGGATAATATGCAAGAATAAATTATGGTCCCTAAGTTTTAGCTTTGATTCTTGCTTGTTTATCACCCTCAAGTTATAGGTTTAATTTTCTTATGTGATTTTAAATCCTAGTAGACGTCAAATTTATTATCAACTCGCCACTTTTTGTCGGGTAATGAAAAGGAACAACTATGCTATAGAGCCAATGTTGCGTTCTTGTGGCATCTCCATCGGCGACCAATTTACTCAAGTTCAAGGCCGTGTCCCAACTGCTCCAAAGGTGCCTAGTTTTCAATCCATTGATATACCGTAACCTCGTTACAAATTCTTTCTAGTTCTCTTGGATTTTGTCGAGCACCGTCCACATTGAAGGCTCGAATCACTAGAGTTGTTCTTATTCTTTTTCTTTTGTAACGGTTAAAGGCGAGGAAACGACAAGGATGTTATTCCAAGAAATGGGTGGTGGAATTTTAATCGTAAGGTGATTTTTGGAATTTAGTCTATGCTTCTATTTGCCTTTATTTTTTTTATCACTTGGTTATATATATATATATATAAAAAGCTACTTCTTGTGCGAAATTTTTCGAACCTTCTAAAATTGAAAACTGGGCCGTGGTGAACTTATCTCGCTCGTTGTGATGTGCGTGGTCTAGTTAGAGATTTGATAAAATTTGGAGAAATGAAGGGGATTGTAAGTTTTATCAAAATTTTATGCATTGTTTCTTGTAATGATCATTTGAATCTAGTTGCTTGTCCTAATTATTATTCCTTTTTCGCTTTGGTGCGACTCATAAGTGACTCGGTGGATGTTGTTGACGAGAATGCTCAATTTCGACGGGCAACACCTCTTGTTCGAGTGGAGAAGATGTTTGAACGGATATGTTTTGCGGATCTGTTTTGTTATTAGTGAAGAGTAGAGAAGGAGGGGGACAAGCGAGGCAAGGGTAAAAACGTGAATAAAAAAAATTGTTAAGCATCATGGTTTTCTCAAAGTTTCCTCCTAATTTTGGGAGGAAAATGGATCCCATCAAAAAGACATTTTGTTTAATATTTCTTTTTTCTTTTCATCGCTTTCCTCTCTAAACCAAACAGGGAAAAACTTTCCTTTCCTCCCTATTTTTTTCCTCTCCTTCACTTTCCTTCCTATCCAAACAAGGAGTTAAGGAAGAGACTTCTAGACACATGAACTTACCTAATTACTAAAAAACTAAAAGATTTGATATTGTCACTATTCATAGTAATTTTTTTTCTTTTCTGTTTTGAGTAGAACGGCCTATAAGAGTCATTGGTTTGGTCTACTACATTGTCGACAAATGTTCAAAGCTCTTTAGCGACTTCGCTCTCCGCTTTAAACACCACGGACACGGACTCGAAAGAGAGAGGGGGAGCGAGGAAGAGACACACACACATGCGAGTGCTCGTTGGTAAGCTAAATTGCAATATTCAAACGGCCTTCTTCTTTCATGTTAAAACCCACCCACATTTTGATTTTATTGGAATCATAACATTGATTTTATTCCAAATAGCTATAAATTAATTTCATGCTTGAATTAAACGGATTATTACCAAAAAAAACTAAAAGATCTAGGATTGGCACTATTCATTTACTAGAGTAATTTTTTCCCCTAAGTTGAATATCCTTGGTCGCTCGGCACGCTAGCCTACAATCGCAAGTCCAAGCGCAAGGCTTGCCTTGGCGGCTCACACTGGCCCTTTTTTTTTCTTCGTGTATATATAGAAAGGAGAAAAAAAAAAAAAAGGCCGAGCTTGTGCTCGGTTGCCTTGTGCGAGCCTAGCCTCTTTTTTCTTTTCTTTTTTCTTTTCCTATATATATAATCGAATTTATAAATTATAATAATGTATTTTTAAAAAAATAAAGCAACGACATTCTAAAATTTTATTTCAAATTTTATATATTAAAAAAAAATTATTAACAAATAAATTATATCAAAAATTAATTTGATGAGAATTTTAATAAGAAACAAATAATTGAAGAAATAAATTTTAAATAATAAGAGTAATATAATCAGATATATATATGTTAAAAATAAAATTTTTAAAAATATCATAAATATTCTATCATCTTCAAACTTTACGTAAAATTAAAAAATAACGATTTATTTTCTATATTTTTCATATCTAATTTCATTATATATATATATATATATATATATATATATATATAGAGAGAGAGAGAGAGAGAGAGAGAGAGAGAGAGAGAGAGAGAGCTAAAGGTATATTTTAGATATTTGGCTCAATTTTTTTTAAAAAAATTAATAATCAATTAAAAAATCACAAGTTTTATTTGCTTTTTTATATATATTTATTTGGAATTTACCGAACCAATTTTATTGTTATTTTTATTTTAATATATTGACTTCAATATATTTCATGCAATTTAAGTTGATTTTTTTCATATATTTTTCTTTATTCTATATATTACGCTTTTATATATATATATATATATATTCATAATTTATCGAACCAATTTATTGTACTTTTTATTTTAATCTATTGACTTCAATATATTTCATATAATTTAGGTGATTTTTTTTTATCTATTCTATAGACTTTGAATCTAGTAAGTATGAGCGCGCGCGCGCGCACACACACACACACACACATATATATATATATATCGTCGGTTTTATTAGAAACTAACTATATATCCGTACACATAATATCAATTATTTTTTATTTTTTTTCATATTCTAAAATTTGTTTTTTTAAAATAAAATAAGTTAGATAATTTTTTGAAAGAACCTCCTAATTATTCAAATATAAATTTTTATGCTAATATTATTAAATATTTTATCAATAAATGTATATAAATCAAACTATTTATAGATTTCATTTACGTTAATCATTGTAAATAAAATTTTCATTCGCATTACATCATATAAATCGTTAACCTTACGTATATAATAATTATTTGACCGTAGCGTAGTATGAGTGTATAAATAGTTAAATTACTAAAAAGCCTTGAACTCTTGATTTGCATCTCGCAACTGCAATAAAGATCCATCGAACGGTTGTACAAAAACCTGCCATTTGAAAACCCGGTTATAATAGCAAGGCCACGGACCTCCTTCCTTTTGTGAATATCACAGGAGGCCAAACATGCCTTGATAACAAAAGAAAAGGTCAACTTATCTGTAGGAAAGCCATGGCGACTCGTCCTAATATTTATGAAATTCCAAGTAAAAAGTATTGGGTTCTTGAATTTGGTGAATCGATTTTCTAACAAGTAATTGATTAGCAGAAAGGCCACTGCGGATGGTCTTACCATGGATAAGTTTGAGAAGATTGAAATTGGTGCAGTGTTGGAATAAAAGAAGAGCTTCATGAGAACCAAACTTAGGGTTAGTTCTAGGACTAGAGTAACAATGAGAGCTCAAAGACGGACTTCTATTCTTTTTTCTGGATATAAGAGCATCAGGTAGAGTACATGAAAGGAAATTAGTCTTGGGTATTTAATTTTAGTTTAGGTCTTTTGGTCATTTCAGCTCTCGTATTCACTATAGTCTAAGTTTCGTTGAGGATGAATTTGATTGCTGATTAAAAAAAAAAAAAGAAAATTAGATCTAAGTAAAAAAAATAAAAGTTGGGAACGTACCTCTATTTTATCAAAAATTCAAAATACTATATAATCAATTAGCATATTTTTAATTTTACAGTACAACAACAAGGAGACGGTAGGATAAAAATTTGAATACCAAACAAAATAAAAACCTATATTATAAAAAAAAAAAACTAAAAAAAAATGCAAGTGGCACTATTCATTCTTTGTAGTTTAAGACTCATCTCCCCTATTTATGTTTTTTTTCTTGGTCCCTCTTTCTTTGAGAGACAAATTAATTAGTCCATTTATAATTTACTATATACAATGCACCCTTAGAGCTTTTTTTATTTTATTTTCCAAAGGGTTTGAGCCAGGCTTCTCTAGCCCAAGCAAGCCTGCTAGGCTCCGATTGTCTTTATATATATATATATGCTTTATATATGCATATATATATTTATATATATTTATGAATATATATATATATATAAAGCATATATATATATATATAAACATAAAAGCATAAATATATCAAAAAAAAAAAGGCTCTAAGGGTGCATTGTATATAGTAAATTACAAAGGGATTAATTAATTTGTCTCTCGAAGAAAGAGGGATATATATATTCTCTTAAATTAATTCTGGTTTGTATACAGACTTTAAAATATATTATGTATTTTGCATGATGTGCAAAATTAAAATTATTTAGAATTATATATATATATATATATATATATATATATATATATATATATATATATATATATATGAAATGAAAAAAACAATTTTCTTCTACATTATTTTTTGATGAAATACTGAATTAATGGACTAAAAACTTGAGATATGATTGTCTAAAAAAATTTATATAATATAACATATGCATATAAATATTTGAAGTTAATTTTTGTTTCCTCCATGTCATCATATATATTTTTGAGCCCATTGCACAATGATTTAATTATTTTAATATTAATTGCATAAAATTTTTATTTTGATACATAGAGTTTATTATTATTATTATTTATTTGATTTGAATATTTAATCAAAGTAAATGTTGGGAACACAATTAAGTTCATAAGTAATTAATTACAAATGAAACAAAACTGATTATTAATGATAAGTATTTGAAATTTTTTTTGTTTTTGTATTAAAAATTATATCAAGCAAATCCATTTTAAAATATATTATGAGTTAGGAAAAACAATTTATGAATTTTCAACCCCTTCTACAATCCATATCCATATGACAAATTGAAAAAAAAAATTCTAAAAAGTTATTATAAAAAAAACTAAAAAAAAAAAAAACAAGAGGTGGCATTGTTCGTTAACCGTAGCGAGTGCCTAGCTTTTTTTTTTTTTTTTTTGTACGATCTCCTTTTTTTTTCCTTTTTTTAAAAGGGATGGGCTGCTTGGAACTTCACCGTATAATTTTCTTCTTCTTCTTCTTTTGGTTTTTAGTTTCTATATGTTCTCGGATGACAATTGTTCCCCTCCTATGTAAATAATTTATTTTTTATTTTTTTTATCATGAAATTAGGTGTGAAAATATAAAAAAAAATGTTATTTTTTTGTTTTATGTACAGTTTGAAAATAATAGGATATATATGATACTTTTTATAATTTTAGTTTGAACATATATATCTTATTATATTAATTACTTTATTATTTAACATTTATTTCTTCAATTGTTTGTTTCCTATTAAAATTCTCATCAAATTAATTTTTAAATTTTATATAATTTATTTGTTAACAAATTTAATTTTTTTATATATGGCTTTTAAAATAAAATTTTAGATAATGATTGTTTTATTTTTAAAATATATTATTATAATTTATACGATATATTATTTTTATGATTTTTCAATGAAAATGACGTTATCGAATATATGAATCCCGATGAGAGAGGGGAGAGACATAAAAGTGTGTTTTAGATAATTTGACTTAATTTTTTTAAAAAATAATAATTAGTTAAAAAATAATTTGGCTTGGTTTTTTTTAAAAAATAATAATTAGTTAAAAAAATCACAAGTTTTATTTGGTTATATATATATATAATCAAAATTTGTCGAAACCAAATTTATAGTAGTTTTTATTTAAATCTATTCACTTCGATATATTCTATGCAATTTAAGTGGGTTTTTTATATTTTTTTATTTATTTCATATACTACGAGTCTTCTAAGTATGATATATATATATATAAAAAAAATCAAAATTTATCGAAATTAGTTTTATAGTAGTTTTTATTTAAATCTATTTACTTCGATATATTCCATTCGATTTTAGTGAATTTTTTATATATATTTATTTTATATACTCTAAATCTGCTTAGTACAATATATATATATATAGTTTTTTTGTTAGAAATTAATTATATTTGCACATATAACACCAATTATTTGTTTTTTTTATGTTCTAAAATCTGTATTTTTAAATGAAATAATTTAATTAATGTTTTGAAAGAACCTCTTAATTATTTAAATTTAATTTTTTTATACTAATAGTATAAATTATTTTTTTAATAAATATATATAAATCAAACAAGTTGGCTAAGTATATAGATTTGATTTACAATAATCTTTATAAATAAAACATTTACTCGCATCATACCCTATAAATCGTTAACTATATGTATATAATAGTTGTCTTACAAAAACGTAACATAAATATCTAACTAGTTTACGCTAAACAAGTTCATGTGTTGTGTTGTTTTATGTTATTTCATGTACCAAACAGGTTTTCATAACACAGCGCAATACATCATAAGTGGTCATAGCATAAGCTGCACATGTTTGTAGTCGTGTAAGAACATGAATTAAGTATATCCATGATCAGTTGAGAATCAATTTCCATGATAAGAATGGGCCTCCCTTGATTCTAAACTTGCTACAAACTTGCAATAAATTGCCCGCAACTCAACCTTGACAATTGTGCACCCACTAATTCGACCAAAAAAAAAAAAACATTCTTTATAAACCTAATTCTTGTGTCGGATAATACCTCCCATGCTAGCTAAATTTAGATTACCTCGACCAACTCTATCCATATTAAGTTCGAACCATCATTTTATAAGGAGACTAACCTATTAAAATCTTTTTATGAGAATTTACCGCGAGACCTCCCAATACCATTAACCTTAACATAATCCAGCTTCCAAGTAATGATTAATATCTAAGCAAGAATAATTAACAAAGATATTGAGGATCTTAAAAATTAGATAATTCCACCATTTTCTAACCCAAAACAATAACTTCCAGTCTAGCATATGATTCATGCCATCACTAGCCTTGAGATTAGACTCAATCCATTTCTTTAGAATCTGACCAAAGACATCCCTTATAGCATGAGAAACAAACTTCATAACTATACCATAAAATGAATAGGTAAGAGCATAAAAAGAATGACTCTTAAACCAGACCTCTCATATAGGCAATTTATCCTATGACAGAATCCACAAGAACAACCTAATCCCTTAAGCCCTCTTCATTTTCACACCAAGTCCTAGTTTATGTCGTGAACATTCCAAGAATCCTCTTCCAAAACTACATGTATTGTTTTGATAAAAAAGGTGCCTTTCGAGGTGAAATTTCAAACATAAATTCCTCTCCAACATCAATACAATGAGGTAAGATATCATTGATCTTATTAACTACACGAGAAAGTAGGATAGTAAAAGGACAATTTAAGTGCCAACTACTAAAACTATCAACATACTTCTAAAATTTAGTATAACAATTAAGAAGGCTAAATAGCCATTACCATCTAACCAAGAGTTCCATCAAAACAAAATGTATGCTTCATTATCCATCCAAAGATTAGCGAAAGCTCCTAATAAATACTCTTCTACAAACAAGAATTAATAAATCTAACACTCTATTTGTCAAGAGGGATGAGAGAAAAAGGATTGGATGTATTCTTCGTTTAGTAATTAAGAGAAGGATAAATCCCAAAACAGGATTGAAGGGGACCTAAGTGCCTATTTTCAAACCATAGACATGCATGTATCTCAATTTCTAAACCACGTGTAAAAGAAGGATAAAGACCCAAAACAGGATTGAAGGGGACCTAAGTGCCTATTTTCAAACCATAGACATGCATGTACGTAACTAATTTCATGCTCCAAATGAGTTGAAATATTTTTAATAAATAAATATATATATATCTTGTTCACATTGATCTTCCAACTTGAATTTGCACAAAACTTGTTCAAACAATCCATAACCAGATGATTTTGACTAGCTAGCAGAAGCTTTAGCAAAAAAATCAGCTTACCATCAACACAAAGATGGAAAATCAAATGACTTGTTCACCTAATAAGAATACCAATCCACATTACTCACACGTTCCTCAATGATGAGGCACTCTTTCTAAATACAAATTATAAATAAATATGAGACCATGGTCCACCTTAAGAATGCCTTGCGAAGGACTAAACCGATCTAGTTTAGCCCTATTCTAATAATTAACCTGAGTAATTGAACTTGTAATATAATCCATCACCCTAAGGATTAAATTATAAGAAAAACACTAAGGTATCGTTTAGTTATCGGGAATGAAAAATTTAAAATAAAAATGCAAGAATTGAAATAAAAATTAGAAAATCGAAATGACATGTGTATATATATATTGTGTTTGGAATACTAATGAGAAATCGGAATGTAATTTAAATTTTTTAATATCTAATTTTTTTATACAAATAAAAATAATGATTAAAAAATAATTTTATCAAATTATAATGGTTGTAAAAATAATAAAGGTGGTGGTTGTGGTAGTTAAT